TATATATATATATAAATTATGTGTTAGATTTATAATTGTAATATGAGATTATTTTTAATTATTGATATTTTTTAAACGATGAAATTCAATTCATAAAAATTAAAATTAAAAAAGATAAATTGAATGGGATGGGAAGTTAAGAAAAATCCATAAAAATACAGGCAGAGAAGAAAATTAACAAAAAAAAAAGTTTTCTTTAAAGAATTATCCCTAAAATTACTCTAATTTAAAATAATTATTATAATTTATATGTATAAAGATATTTGAAAAATAATAAATAAAGATTATTTTTAATTTTATATATTATTTATCTTGAAAAATAAATAATACAAATTCTATATATAATCTATAATATATCATGTCACACTTCCTCTTACATAAGAGAAGTTTTTTTTTTTTTTTACTTCACTAAAATTATTCTTACTTCTCCCTTTCATCCTTTCTACCAAACCATCTCTCAAAATCAACTTTCACTCACTTCTCTTTCCTTTCCCAACTTCTATCCTACCAAATGGATTGTAAAGACAACTCAGATGCACTTATATACTTTTATTGTTGTGTTCTAATCCAAATTAAAGTTACACTTCAATAATTTATGTTTGCATTTGAAACTTTAATTATGTAGCTTTAATTTTGAACGGAGAATAACACTAAAAATATTTAAGAATTATATATAAATTTTGTTAATTGTAAATTTAAAATCCCAAGCGTGTGATTCAGTGGTAGGGGTTGATCCACGCTTAAGCAAGGTCAGGGATTCGAATCCTGCCTTATGTATGCAGCCCCGTTAAATCTTCTATCGGCGGTGAATACTCTAGGGACGAACAAAAAAAACCTTAAATTTAAGGATTTTGATATATTCATTAAGAGACTCATTTTCCCTCTTTCTTCGTCCCTCTCTCTTTTTCTTTCGGTTTATTTGTTTTACAAAATTTTAGGTAAATAGAAGTACGTGAAAAACAAGTGGAATAGAAAATAAATTTTTTTATTGTCTAGTAAAAAAGAGAATTGAAAGAAGATAACTGTGGTGGAACTCGAAAAAAAAAAAAAACTCTTCTCAAGGATAAAAAAAATTATGAAAGAAGGAGAAAAAAAAATTATAGGACTACTTAAAAAGTAAATGACAAATTTAACCTTTTGTTTTGAATTATATAAATTTGTTATTAGGAGTAAATATGTCTTTATAACATATACTTATTTTTCCTTTCACTACTGTTTCTTATTTATTTTCATATACACAACTTAAAAGTTTATTTATTTTCTTCTCTTTTCTACTTCTTTCTATTTCAATTTTTTTTTCTTAAAACATTTGATTATCCAAACAAAGCATTAGTGCATCTAAACTCATTCAACTATTAATTAATCCAAAGAAATAACAGTACCTTTTTCAACAAAAAAAAAAAAAAAAAAAAGCCGTACCAAAATCATTAATTAGATAGTTTTTCAATATACATGTGAGGATGAGATATAACACCATATTAAATAAGGAAAATGATTCAGCTTCCAATCGTGAATGCCGAAATTCTCTCTGAATGAATAAAATAATAATTTAAATTATAAAATATTAAATTAAATAATTAATTTATAATAAATTTATTAAAAAATATTAATATTTTGAGGATTCGAATCATAATTCGGAAATCCTTTCGAATTGTGTAGCATAACTCGTTAAATAAAGTCAAACATGCATGCCAAGGAGACAAACTTCTCAGTGCATTTAAAAGCGGTCTCGATGAAATAATATTGATTGAAGTTAATGAAAAAGTGCAATAACTGCCCGACTTATTATGCCATCAACAACTCTCAACTACTATAATTTTTCAGTTGTCACAGTACACAGAACCTTTGTTTGCGAGTAAATCAAGGGAGAAGCAGACAACACAGAACGTCTCTCTTAAATGGAATTACTGTGTCAGTTGTTAAAGGATTGCTTAAAAGCAGGGTGAGGGCTAAGATTTTTTCAGACAGACATGGGATATGGGATATTCAGCTTTCTAGTTTGTTACTTACTAACTTGGTACTTTACTTGTGAGTAGCTACCTCGTGTTAATGAGATTCTTTATGTGCTCCACAAGTAAGGTGTACAGATGACATCAATATCAATATATTTATATAACACAATACACTCACTAGTAAAAAGCAGTAGCGCAGAAAGGAAGAAACAATTTACCGAGTGCCACCGTAATACAGGATAATGATAATTCTTTGGTGCCAGTGCCACATGCCATAACCAACTTCAAAAATTAGGAACAAATATACACTTATAATATGGACTCATATATTAAATTAGATAATATGAAGTTCACTTCGGTTCTTTGTAACGTAAGTGCCACCGAAGCTTCACTAGAACCTCACAAATCTTGGATATAAGAAAATAAAATTTGGATGACGGCCCCTCAAATCTATACCCAAGAAAAAGAAAAGGTCCAATCAGAAGGGAAACTATAATGATTTCTTCAACTACTTTGTTAATGTGTCAAAGACAAGTGTTGAAATTGGACATGGTATGCATTTATATAATTTTGGTTCCCAAGTACATGTGATGTCTCTCAATAATCAAAGTCACTCAACTGACTCAACACAAGAAGAACTGACCAGCATTACATTTGTGTTTGCTGGCTCTCTCTTTCTTTAGGCAGGGCCCACGGGACAGGGAACACCAACATAAATACATACTCAACAGTGGGCAAACAATGTAGCTATGATGCAGGTGCATTACTTCTAGCTTTAGTAAGTCATAGTTTGGAGGCATGAGTTGTAACTTTACTCAAGGCAGTTGCTGCTTTTGAACCAGATACACGTCCTAAATGCTTGCAGATGAAATCCCCAGCCAACATAAGCTTTCCAAGGTCAACATTGGTTTTCACTCCAAGTCCATTCAGCATGTAAACCACATCCTCAGTGGCAACATTCCCAGTTGCACCCTTGGCATATGGACAACCCCCAAGACCAGACACGGATGAATCCACTGTGCTGATCCCCATCTACAAAATAAATAAATGACCACATTTAACTAAATAGGAATTGTTATGAAACATACACAACAGTTCTGAATTTTCACTTCTTTCTACAAGGCTGTAACAAGATAGCTGTACATGGATTTCCATGTTTAAGCATGAAGTATAAACAAGTTTATTTTAGACTCCAAAGACAATTATCTTGCTTGGCAGTAGTAAACAATCTGGATCATCAGCAACAAAGCACTGCATCGTGGATGATAATCAAATTTCTTCAAATCAGAGAGTGAACACGACTTATAAATTTATAACAAGGGACAAGAGCACTGTCCAGCTTAACCACGTTGATTGAAGAGCTAAACCAAAATCTGAAGTTAAATTTGTGATGGTGATTGTGGGGGGATTAACCATAAAAGCACTAAAAAAGTCTTATGCATACAGGCTGTCACAAAATATCAGCATCTCGAAAAGTTATTTACCTGAAGTGAAATTAAAATATTTGAAAGCGCCTGACCGTAAGTATCATGAAAGTGGACAGCAAGCATGTCATCTGGAACAACACCCAGAACAGCTTCGAGCATCGGAATGACAGTACCTGTAAAGATGAGTAAGACTAAGTAAAATTCAGAAAATATGATAAACCGAAACAATCAGGATATGACCATAAAAGTGAATTAAAGTATATTAGATAATATCCAATAACTCATTAAACACTGCATTACTTTGTATGTTTTGACAACATACACTCAATTAATCTTCTAATCTGTGTTGTTTATAACTAAAGCTGATAGGATACTACCCAACACTATTAACATCCATTAAGGTAACAAGATTTAAAAAAGACAATGGCCTCTAGCGAGAAAGATGTCCTTTTTCTCACTTCACATATCTCAAACTCCTTAGATATAAAAATACCACATTTAAATAAATTCCTTCTTAATACATAAAAAAAAAAAAGGAAACTGATTTTGGGAAACATCTACAATGACCTCTAACATGGAACTATAGAATTTTTAATAATCCGGTTCCTCTGCATGCAATTCATCTTCTACACGGTCACATTACACTATAATTAATGAAAGGAGTCAGCCATATCAACAAGATCCATGGCCTTTTAACAAGTCAGATAAATACACCAGCATTGCAACCAAAGCCAAAATCGCTTGCAGAACACGAGACAACAAATGAAAGAAACATTACCAGGTGTGCCAACACCAATTGTATCCCCCAGTGAAATCTCTGAGCAACCCATCTCATGAAGTGATTTTGCCACATATGCTACTTTCGCTGGAGCAATACTTCCTTCCAGAGGACATCCCACAACACATGATATATATCTAAAGTATGAAATCAGTCACATGACTGATCATATAATTTACTATGGTGAATTTGAAATTTAAAGTGAAGATTAACAGAATTCTGTCGGAGATTATTGAAAATTTTTCACAGATAGTAATTCTAGGAAGGACAACAAGGAGTCTGGGACACTTTCTACCATCCACAAAACTATTTCTATAATCTAAATCATCTTTCAAGCTATGCCCTCATCCAACCAAATGTATATCCAATATTGAGAGGTCATGGTTGAAATTAATCTGATGATGAGAATACCATCACATATTGTCATTAACAAAACAATCAGCATCTACTTCAATCCAAATTGAATAGAAATCAAAACCTATTGTTTTACCTGATGTCACTAAATATAAACCCTAAAGCTAAATGAATCTATCAACATGGTAATTTGTGTCTCAGCTCAAGTTATTTTTCCACTGATAGATCTAAATAACAAACCTATAGAAAGCCATATAAATCCAGGTCAGAGTGGAAACATTTGATAGCCAACAATTGATGCTTCAAGAATATTATTAAGATATTTAGTCCCTCTTTTGTATTTTAACCAGTGCGTGTCCAGTAAAAGAAATTGACCATATATAGCAATAAGCCTTTTTGTTTAAACTAGAAGAGATTATAAACACCAAATTTCAGAAAATGCTAAAATTTATCCATTATTGATTGCAGAGATTGACAGACATCAATTGAAAATTATACCCGCGGACTGGGATCGAGAGGGATCTAGCAGCTGAAGCAATATCACGGCAACGAGCAAGATTATCCTCAATGCCACTATTAAGATTTGCTTTTGAGAATGATTCAGAAGCTGCAGGAAAAACAGCCACTTCTTTAGCTCCAGCAGCAACAGCTGCCTCAAAACCCTGGAAGAAACGGGGTCAGATAATCATGTCCGTCCACAGATTCTTAAAAAATAATATCTTTACCATTCAATGTAATTCTTACTTTGAGGTTTGGAGTCAAGACAGGAAACCTAGCACCTTCAACATTTTGAATTGCTGCCAATACATCAGTTGCATCTGCCAACTGAATTCAGTTAAAAATATGAGAAATTAGTTGGTTACATGATCCCATTATTCATTAAATATTGGGTCTCAAAAAAGTGTACAGTTGTAACACAATTTTGAAAAGACAACAAAATTCTTGACTAACACTTCAACATTAGGCCATAATCCATATGAAGAATTGAAGCAGTGAAAAAATAAAGTAGATTATCAAATTACGATTCCAATCATGAATTGCCAGACCAAACTTTGAATTACAAATCAAAAAATTTATGGGACCATAAGATTCAAAAACACAATGAAAAATAGATTGAAATGAATTACATATACGATGCATTATATAAAAATGGCTTGATTCAGAAACACAATGAATTGTGAATTATAAATCTTAGAACTCAATGTAATAATTTAAAACTAAGATTATGAATCAACTTAACCATAAATCTCAAAACAAATCATAAGTCGAAAGTCACAAGTCACAACTGAGTATGGATATCAACTTGTATGGAAGCTAATAAATAAATAACAACACATAAATAACCAAGTGAACTCATAAGTAATAATTTTTTTGTCTTTTACGAATGAGATGTAATAGAGTAAGCAAGTGACTGTGTGAAGCCTCTGTTTCAAAAGAATGAAAACAAAGCAATGGTACAACCAAATAGGTTGCAGAGTCATAAGAGTGACTATGTGAATCCCCAATTCAGAAGAATGAAAACAGAGCGATGGAATAATCACATAGGGTGGTTCAGTGCTCCTTCAGTTCCTTGTCATTTTAACAATTTAAGCTTATCTAACTTTTCAATTTCTTACATGAAAATTGGTGAAACCAAAGCAAAACAGAAAAAACAATGATGAATTGCAAATATTCATGAATGCACTGTGTAACTCAAAGCCATCTGCTTTTCATCACATGATAAGAAATGCTAGCTTGTCAAATCATATTAAATTGTGCATTTTAAATTGTGAATCATGCAATTCAAAGAATTAAAATACTTGTGACTCTAAGATATTTCCTCTATATGATGCAAAATGTTTGAAGACTCAACAATTTTCCTTGTTGAACAATTAGTCAATCATATAGATAAATTAATCACTATGTAAATGAATGTGTAATTAGTCAATCTATTTTAAAGAAAAATTGACAATTTCTCCAAGCTTTCCAGAAAAAAACAGTTAGTAATAACTAAAAGTTCGAACAAGCACATATGTGATGATATTTGAGTGCAATCCAACATCATGTCTCACTATCTAAAGGTGTACATTTTCCTTATCCATAAACCAGCTCATCAATAGCTCATTGTTACTAAAAAATAGTGAATTTTGCTGACTTTCTTAGAGTTGAATTTTGAAGAACCAATAATCAAACATGAAATTAAACAAACAGAAACTCACACCAAAACTGCAGATATTTGCATGGCAATATCACTCATAAATATCTAGCAGATGGACACCACTCCTTGACAAAAGAGAGAACATATTTCCCTGCTTTTTATTCATAAATTTATTCAAAAATGAATTACGTCCCCTCCTTAATGCAATAGAAGCTACTCATGCCATGGAACCTCATGATCACTCATTTATTTCAGAAAATTTGTAGAATGCTTCAAGAACAACTTTACCAGATAAATGTAGGAAAAGTAATCAAGATCTCTAAGTACACTATAAAGAATGTAAACGTAGTAAAAAATATACCAAAAATAAAAATAATGATAAAGAACATCACTAGGTTAAGGGGAAAATCACAAATGATTGATTGTTTCTACAAAAAATATTCTCTTACCTGTGGTACCCATTTTGGTGAGACAAAACTAGTTGCCTCAACCACAAGCAACCCAGAAGAAACCAGCAGTTTTATCAACCCAACTTTTACATCAGTAGGAATAATAGCCTTCTCATTTTGCAATCCATCCCTTGGACCAACCTCCACTATCTTTACATAGTCTGGAATATGTTTGAGAAGCTGAAGCATTGTACATATTATTTGTCATAAATTCTCCAACAATGAGACAATAAAAAAAATGTTAAAAGAAGCAAGAAAATGCTGAAGTAGACATAACTGAACCATCAAAACATCATATTACTTACATCAGAGTTGACTAGCATTTTTCTTGAAAAGAAAATTATATGTTCAACATGATAGCAATAATTATGTATCAAGTTGAGCATGTGTTATCTTCTTTGCTTAGCAACATATTCAAGTTACAATACATAATAATAGGGGGGGTAGTATACACATAAGATCAACTGCACCTTACTTGAGAACTCCTGTGTGTATCTATCATTGCGATCAGATGTAAAATGACGATTTACAACATAGGAGGCAGCATGATTATTGCCATTTAGCCTTGAAATCCAGTTCAGGCATTTAGACAAACCTTTTATATCATACTTGTCAAATGCATTCCAAACTTCTTTGTTTGAAATTTCCCTGGTTCGTTCAAGATTGACAAAGTAAAGAACACAATATTTAAGGTAATGGCCAATTTTTCCTAGAAAAAATAATTTAACAGTCATAATTAATTAAATCAGCAAGGAGTAAAATCAAACAATACATAATTATATTAAGTCTTTCTACAGTGCGCACACTCTCTTGTCCCAAACATTAATTTATCAGCATTAACATTTCCTTCTACACTGCAGTATATTACTTTGTAGGGAAACAAAACTGCA